GATTAAACCTTAAACATGCTTATATAAACATGGCGTTTGTCTCTCAAATTTAACCCTCCAAAGTTGATGAAGCCTTAGGCGATGACCAATGGATTATTGCTATGCAAGAAGAGTTAAACCAATTTGAAAGGAATCAAGTTTGGGAACTTGTCCCCAGGCCAAGCAACAAACACATCATTGGAACAAGATGGGTGTTCGAGAACAAACTTGACGAAAACGGTATAATTGTTAGGAAAAAAGCAAGGTTGGTTGCACAAGGTTACAATCAAGAAGAAGGAATTGATTTTGAAGAAACTTTCGCTCCGGTTGCAAGGTTAGAAGCTATTCGTCTTTTACTTACCTATGCTTGTTCATTAAATTTTCAGCTTTTCCAAATGGATGTCAAGAGCGCATTCTTGAATGGATATATCAATTAAGAAGTCTATGTCAAGAAACCCCCAGCGCTCGAAGATTTTAGGAATCCATCTTATCTCTTTAAATTATGAAAAGCTCTCTATGGCTTGAAACAAGCACCAAGGGCATGGTACGATCAACTAAGTAACTTCTTATGTGAAAAAAGGCTTTGAAAAAGGTAAAGTTGACAAGAAGTTATTTATCAAGAAAATCAAAGGTAACACTTTTCTAGTTCAAGTCTATATTGACGATATCATCTTCGATTTGTCAAACAAAGAAATGTGTGAAGAATTTTCAGCAATGATGCAAAGAGAATTTGAGATGTCCATGATGGGTAAAATGAATTATTTTCTTGGACTTTAAATCAAGCAATTAAAGGATGGCATCTTCATCAACCAATCCAAGTATTGCAAGGAATTATCGAAAAGATTTAACATGGATAATTGTAAAGCAATGACTACTCCAATGGGTTCCGGTACCTATATTGATCAAGATTAATCGGGTGTCTCTATAGATATTACAAAATATCAAGGTATGATTGGATCTTTATTGTATTTGACGGAAAGTCGTCTTGACATAATGTTTAGTGTTTGTCTTTGTGCTTCCTTTCAAGCAAATCCAAAGGAGTCACATCTCATGGCGGTAAAACGATCATGAAGCATCTCAAAGGAACAAAAAATGTTGGATTATGGTATCCTAAAGGTAGTGTTTGCAATTTAGTTGGTTATTCTGACGTAGATTATACAAGTTGTAAAACTGATAGAAAAAGCATAAGTGGTACTTGTCACATCCTTGGAAACGCATTAGTATTATGGGCTTGCAAGAAACAAGAATGCGTTTCTTTTAGCACGGTCGGAGCAGAATATATTGCAGCAGGTAGTTATTATGCACAAATATTATGGCTCAAGCAACAACTTCATGACTACAGACTCGATCTAGGATGCATTCCTCTACGGTGCGACAATATAAGTGCGATAAATATTACAAAGAATACGGTCATGCACTCAAGAACCAAATGCATCGACATAAGATGTTATTTTCTTCGTGATCATGTGCTTTAAGGACATACTGAAGTCATATTTGTAGATACTCATAATCAACTTGCCGATATCTTCACAAAACCTTTGGCAAGAGAAGCATTTTACAAAATTTGACGAGAACTTGGTATTTTGGATGAACATGACGTCTAAGGTGCATTCTATCCTTCTTTATACTTTCAAAAAATGTCTTTGTAATATTTATGTTTTTAACACATTTTTATGTGAAAAATTCATGTCCATATGTTGCCTTAAGATGTTATGTGAGTTAAGATATGGTTATTTCAGGAAAAATGTGTTTTTTGGGTTCCTTTTTGGCTGATGCAATCGATTGCACCATTGTGTAAATCGATTGCTCACTGTATGTTTCTATTTTTTGACCATTCTTTTTCAGTGCAAATCGATTGCATCATAGTGCAAATCAATTGCACGTTGTTTGTTTCAGTTTTTTTACCTTTACTCTCATCTCCATATCCCTCCATATGATCCAAATAACCCAGTTGTCCCTCCTCCATAATACACTGGTCCTCCACTTCAACAATAATTTCCAAATCAAGGACCATTTTTCTACAACAACCCCGACATGAACCAACCATGAATTTTGTCCGTCTGTGTTAATTTTTATTGTGTTTATCATTCTGTCCTAGTTTTCTATTATGACTTGTATGTCTCTATGACTATGTTTTGTTATATTTAATGAATATTATAGTTAAGCTTTCAATATTATTATATGTATTTTGTACATTTTTTATGCATCTTTCCCTTCTTTTTGATAATGTCAAAGGGGGAGAAGGATGTTATACTTTGTGCTTGTGTATTTCCTTGTCTTAAACTTTCAAGGTATAAAGAATCCTTCAAGATGAGAAAATCCAAATGATTACAAAGTTTCTAATACAAAGGGGGAGTTGTACATCTTAGGGGGAGAAGTTTTTTTCCGAAATAACAACGCATCAAGGAAGATTGTTTGTCATCATCAAAAAGGGGGAGAATGTAATATCAAGCCTCTCAATGAACTTTGTTTTGATGAAGACAAACCATAATGGCAAGAAGTCAAAGATGTTGATCAAGCTAAGGCATCATTGGATAAAAGTCTTTGGTTCAAGCTCTTGGCAAATTCCATAAGGTATAATAACAATTCTTACTATGAACTTAAGTCTTATATGCTCAATGATCAAAAGAAGTTTTTAAACTTGTCCAAACTATTTCTCAAGTTTCTTAAGCAAAAAATTGATTTTTATTACTGAGCAATCGATTTACATGTTTGAGCAATCGATTCCTTGCCTCACATTTTTAGGTTTTTTGCTTCTGTTTGCCCGTGCAATCGATTTGAATATATGTGTAATCGATTGCTCTCTGTTTGAAAAAGCTTTTGTTTTTAAGTGCAATCGAGTTACACAAAGGTGCAATCGATTTCTCACTGAAAATATTTGAAATTTCTGGCTGTTAGAACCTGTGCAAATCAATTTGCATCAAGGGTGCAATGGATTGCTTGTTGTACATTTTTGAAAATCAGTATATTTTGATATACCTCTTCACATACACCTTTTGAATAATGGATTATACTGAATCTTAGCAATCGTTCATGATCATTGTATAGAAAATCATGTTGTTTCAAAGGGGTATTATTAAGATATAATTAGCCAAAGATTCAAATGATTTTACAATCTCTTCCATTCAATTTTTTTCTGAAATTTTCAAATACTCAACTCAAGCTTTCTTCATTGTTATTCAAAAAGTTTTATGCACATTTTCACATCTTGTATAACAGAAAACTTTGAGCAATCTAAGTCCTGAGTCATTTTATATCATTGTTATTGGAAGGGAAGATCAGGTTGTTGATAAAATCACTTAAAGTGATTATTACTCTACAAACTTACACACTCAAATATTGTTGTACACTTTCTTATTTTTCAGGATTGTTGAAAATAAGATTAATGGTTTTTGTACTCTTGTTTTTCCAGGATTGTTGGAAACAAGTAGGTCACCTTGAGAGGATTATTCTCATTGTTGACATAGTAAAAATCCAAAAAGATTGTTCTTGGTCCAAGAGGATTATTCTTTGTGTTTGGTAGTTCTTGTATAAGTTGCCAACTATAAGGAAATCTCTTTCATGTTTAAAGGGGATTGGAGTACTCTCGGACTATGAGGGGGACCAGGATAACTCTTTTGTGTCTCTTTATTTTTATGCACTTTAATACTTTCATAAACACCATAAACCATAAAAATAATATCCATCATCACTAAAACCAGAAAAATTTAAAAGTACCTAATTTACCCCCCTCTTAGGCGCACTCTTATACTTACACCAACCATACAAATTTTCACACTTCCTCTCTTTCATAAATCTGAAGCTTCAAGTCCTTTCTACATGATATTTGAATTTTGCATTTCATGGAATCTTGAATCCTCTCTCTGAGGAGGTTTGAGATATCTTCAGGATGAGCCACATCATTAGAGACTGATGAAAACACATAGATTCTCAAATTAATCTTCGAGCACCATTACTTGGTCAGTGTGCCACCCTTAACCCACAAATTTTTTTTCATTTTATTTTGAAGTAAACTACATGACAAAATGAGAAATGTAGAAAAAGTTGTCACATCAATATAAATACTAAAACTTTTATTTCAACTAGTAATTGAATTCAAACATAACAAAAGTTTAAGATCTTGTGGTTCCAACACAATAGAAAACATAAAAAAATATTCAATAAAATTAATCCCAACCCCGATGTTACAATATAAGAGCTTTTATTCTAACTAAATTTAACTAGCCAACTCAAGAGTTTAACAAAACATAATCCTAAAGAAGGGAAATCAATGTGTACTTCTGCACCATCTTCCATAACAAGCTGCAACGACTACTCCTCAGTCTCAACCTAAGAATACTCCACACATGGGTTCACACGGAGAAACTTAGAAACAAGAGGGGTGAGAATACAATTTAAAAATTAATATGGTATAATATAGTAAGGGTAACATAAAGACGAGTTACACAATCCTCATGACATCATATATTGTCACTTAATATTTTATATTATACTTATAACATCACTTAATCCTTCAATATATTCATATCACGTCGATTTGAATTTCATAATATACATATAACATCAATTCACATTTCAAATTATACATATAACATATAGATGAATGCTTATGAGACACACTTGTTCTCAGTCCCAATGCATGTGGTACCATCAATGGACTTTGAGTTATTTAATAAAGTCCTAAAACACTGGACCAAAGTCCTAACACTAGACCTAAGTACTAGCCCAACTCCAAAATATCTGATTCATGATGCTTCAAACAAATTAAATCTTCCACCCGAACCTCCAAACCATAATCCAACACTGCCAATTAAGACTAACACTGGTACTTTTAAACCCAATAACATTGCCTATTAGGCTAAAACATTAGTTCTTTAGAACCTAAACATAATCAAACACAAGTTCTTATCAAATCTTCAATATAATCTAACACTAGCTCTTATCAAACCTAAGAGTCTTCACACTATCATTCATACTTCACAAATTGTATCTCATCAACATTGGACTTGTGTCCTAAAACATTAATAACTTAATTCACATAACATCTTATCAAAGTATTGAACTAATATCCTAAAACATTGAAAACTTGATCCACATAAACATTTTATCATGACATTGGACTCGTGTCCTAAAACATTTACAACTTTGCTTAGAACCTCATTTACGCATATAAACATCTTGAAACCATAACCATATTCACAAATATAAACATCACGAATTCTGTAGAAATACCACGTCAAAATTATGTAGTGTTGCACACAAGACATAATATGGAAAGAATCAGTCATGCAACAAGAATTAAAGCTTAACAATAATTTCACATAGAATACATTTGGTCTTTCATCTTGAGCAATAAGATTCTCATTAAAATAACACAAAATCATGTTTTCTAATAGTCGTGTCTCAGATTCGAATAATTATTCAAAATATTAAATAGAGTTGGAATCAAGCAAATGAATATGTTTCGAAAATCTTAGAGTGTCTATTTTAATACTAGGAACTTCTTTTAGAACTTAAGATCTCAATCTATACATTTTAATCAAATAATAGGAACTGATGCAGACACCGGGCATAATGTTTTCTACTAGTCATACCTCAGATTCAAATAATTTTTTAAAATATCAAAAGGAGTCGTGATTAAGTAAATGGACATGTTTCATAAATTTTAAAGTGTCTATTTTAAGACTTTGATTTTTATTTTAGAACTTAAAATCTCAATCAGTACAATTTCATCAAACAATAGGAACTGATGCAGACACGAAAAAAAAGTTTTGTCCGACTTCTATCTAGTATTTCTCCTACTATACTTAATAAAATTGGATACATATTAAGTCTAATATGTAGAAAATTTTATCTATTTCCCAAGGATGTAAGGTTTACTCTTAAAGGACTTGTGTAGAGTGATTTGTTTCCATATTATTAATTGCATGTCAAATAGTTGTACTGCAGAATTTTAACACATTAGTTGAACTTGCATATCAGTTTTCTCATCCTTTCCACACAAAAAAACCGAATCAGAGTCTATCTCGTACTAAATCTTATCTAGTTTCTACGGTCTTAGTTTGACTCCTAAAATATTTATTTAACTAAAATTATAGGCAAATGATTAATAGGATACATTAATCACAACATACAGATTTTTAATCTTAGCTAGTTCTTGCTAGCTTCTTTTAAGTCCTACTCTTTAGGATTCCACAATATCCTCTACCTTATTCCCAATAGTCAATACACCTACTTAATTCCTAAATTATATCAATTAATAACATCAATAATTTCATCAAATTCACCAATTTATTGAAAATATTTTTCAATTCATGAGACTCACAGGGAGATTACATTACAATCATACAATTCAATCTAACTCACTAATAACAAGAGTGAGATTCATGGCCTAGGGATCGAGAACCATATACTCAAGGGAATCCACATATGACCTCATATAAATTTGGGGTTTAAGGAAAACTCCACTATCATAAACATAGAATACCAAATCATATAATAATATCTCCCTTACCTTTTTAGTGCAAAATTTTCTTCTCGAGTTCTCAAAAAAGGCAGAAACCTTCATTTCACAACATGTATTGCTATCCTCTTGATGAATTGAGATTTTCTTCTAGAGTTTTGGAGAATAAGAATGACTTTTTGAGCGATAAGGGTTTCTGCCTCTTTTTTCTCTTTCTTTTCTCCCAAGAGAATACATGTTTTCTCTTTTCTATTTCCCCTTTTCTCTCTAAATCTCCATATTTTTTTATATTTTCCTAAATCCTTATTTTATTTCCTTTAATTCAAATTTCGATTTTTCTTTTATTATTATTATTATTATCATTATTATTATTATTACTATTATTATTTATAATTTCTAATTTATTAAAATTATTCAATATATCATGAAAACCAATATTAATAATAGTAATAACAACATTATATTTTTCTTTCTCTTAAATAATAATAATAATAATAATAATAATAATAATAATAATAATAATAATAATAATAATAATAATAATAATAATAATAATAATAATCTTAAAATGCACATTAAAATCACATTATCAAATAAGTATAAATTCAAATAAAAATTGGGGTGTTACAATCAACATGTCAAGTATCATCACTTGATCCATACATCAAACACCATCACTTGATCAACAACATCAAGCATAATCACTTGATAAACAACATGTTAAGCACCATCGTCAAGATCATTACGTATCACCCACAACCTAGGTTATGTCTAACGCAGAGTTAAGAGAACAATCGTACTGTCTCATCAATGATGTCTCGCACAACTCAATGACACAAAAGCATTAAGAACAGATATCCACTGTGAATATTAGACTTTAATCTATTTCTAGAGTTTTGAACCTAATATATGCTCATCCAAGAACAAGATTCAAATTTTATAGGTCTATAGCAACTCAAATCCCAATACAAAGTAAAAACACGGATAAACATCGATATATATTAGAGAAATATATATTATACAATACCATGATCAATAAATATACATAAAATCAGAGTAAACTTACATACACTCCACAACAATGAATAATACAAAGGGAAGAGAGAAGAAGAACAAACAACTCTCGCGGTGTCAACACGATCGATGAGAATTCGACTTCGAATCACTAAGATGCATCATCCAATGTTCTTTTCTAAGTCTAAAATCGCAAAGAATGTTGGTGATGGAATTGAGACAAAAAACCCCCAAAACCATAACCTAAAAATGTGTTTTAAACCCAGAAATCAGAGTTTTTGTCCAGAAAAATTCTCCCAACGCTCACAAAATTCTCCCGGAGAATTGTCACTTTTCAGCCATAAAATATAACGTAAAAACAGACAAATTCTCCCCAAGCTCTCCTCGGGCTCGCCTGGCGAATTTGACAGCAAATGAAAAAATCATTTCTTGTTTTCACCATAACTCGAGAACCGTAACTCTGATTTACGCATGGTCAGAAGCATTGGAAAGCTTATCCAATATTATATATTATAATGAGTAAATATAACTTCTTGAATACCTACAAAAATGAGATAAAAAACAATCAAACTCAATGATATTTACATGATAATGCAATATATACACTGTAACATAAACTATACCAAATATAAACAGAAGTTGAGGTTTATTGACAAAAAGAAAATGAATTAACTCGACGAGTGCTAATTATTCCCACTCAAATTCACAATAATTTAGCACTTATCAGTCACTCATGTGCCTCTACAAGATTTATGAAGTACCAATCAACCATCTTTATAGTCACCCTACTATGAATAATGTTTGAACGAGAATGATATTCTTGACTCCACATCTAAGATTCATAATAGTTTCTGGTCGAAGGGACACCATTATCACCATGATAATAAATTATGACACTTGCATAACATTCTATGTAGTATTCTCATGGTAGGAAATCTGATATAAATACTGTGATCGGTGGAAATAGAACTGACTGTTTTTTTAGCTGGTTCGTGAAATGTCGCGGTAAGCAAGATTCGCCACCGTCTTTTATGTTCTCCAACATGGAAAGGACAAAAGCACAGCAAAATTCCTTATTCGAGATGTCTCTCGGTTCGGGAGGTAGATTTATAGAAAGTGAAGGTATTAGCACCCTTTCTATCTGTGATTATCCACGGGCTCTTAGGTACTTGCTCTTATGTTTTCAAAATTTGTTTGCTTTTCAAGTGTGTGTGGGTTTTGAAAAAGTTTCGTTTGAAAAATTTCTAAGTAACTCTTGTATCTGTCCTCAAGAGTGTATGAAAATTTTGTTTGAAAACCTTTTGAAAGTGTAGGTGCGAAAAGTTGTTTTATTTGTTTGAAAGAGCAAGTACCCAGGAGAATCTATCTACTCTAAGGAATTAGGATGTGTAAGAGTCCTTTAGATAGTGCTATCCCACCATTGAGAGGTAGGTAGCACCGTCGTTGGAGGTATTCGGGTCAATTCGATTATTAGGGACAGTGTGGTCACCAAAGCAATAGTAGGACGCCTTAGAAGTAATCCTAATGTCTTAGATCGTTTTTATCTGAGGCAACTGTTTCGAGGCAACTGGATCTTAGACAAGAGGGCGACCTCTAAAACACCCTATACTTGACGACCACGTTCGAGGCAACCAGTGAGGCGTACCCTAGGAGTGGTATGTGCTTGTTTGTTGTTTCAGTTAATGTCTTGTACATGTTATTTGTGAGCTACAAATTGATTTTTATTTGTCATACATTCTTTCAGGCATAATTAACAGTTAGGAGTGCGGAAAATAAATTACGGAAATGTAAATCTAGCTATTACAAGGCGCGGGTCTATACATCGCCAAAAACAAAAACCCGTTTTGAAAAATAAAGTACGAGAATTTAAATAAAGCGATAAACCCTAATTAACTATTACATACTCTGTACAGATACATAAATGTAATCAAAAGAAATAAAGTGCGAAAGAAGATTAAATCGGGAATGTCTTGAGGGTTTTGACCCTTTTTTAGAATTAAATTAAACATTAAACCTAATTAACTAATTAATTATTTAATTAAAGAAAAAAAATGTTTTTTGTTTTTTATATTTTTAATGAAAATAAATAAAAAAGAAATTAAAAATTGGAAGTGAAAGACCTAATTCTAAATTAATTTTACTTATTAAAAAAAAATGTTAAAATTGTTCTAATTACACGACTAATTAATTAATATTAGAATTTATTTACAAAATAAGTTAATAAATAATATAATGCTTTTTTTGTTTTTTTTTAATTTTATGGAAAAAATTAGTTTGTTAGGTTAATTAACAATAATAATAATAATTACTAAAGAAAAATAATAATAAAAAGAATAGGAAAATAGAAAAATAAATAGAAACCAATGGGGGTGATGGGCCAGCAAAGGGGGTTTTGAAGAAGCAAATTGGCCCAATAATGACCAGGCCTGCTTTGACTTTGGAATTGCCTGCAACATGGGTTAACCAGGAGCATGGTGCTCCTCATCTTCTGGCCTTTGGATCTGTACACAAGGCCACATGGCACGTTGATGCAGGAGGGCATATGGTGTTGGTTGTTTGGAAGACTGCATAGGAACATATTGGAAAAAATATTAACAAGCCTTTGGGGGGACTTGGGAATCGAACCCAGGTCCCAATGATGAACAAACACGTCCTCCTCCACTACGCCAAACGCTGCATCTTGTTAATATATTGTGCAATAAACATAATATAAGAAAAAAACAAATCAAATGCTGAAACAAAAAAAGAGCGCGCGTGTTTGAATGTTCCAATGGGGTATTGCCAGCTCACCGTCTTCTTCATGAAACCTGCAAAACAAAAGTCAGATAGCGGGGGTTTTAAACCCCCACAACCTGCAACATTGAAAAATAGCGAATATGCATGTGTGCCATATAAATTGGGCGCGAG